AAGTAGACAGAAGTGCTCGAAGACCAATAGTCTATCTTGATCCTGTCTTGGTAATGGCCAAGTCCTTGCACCATATAGCAACACTTGTCGAAATGCTACAACATACACTTGACCATTCACAGACAGCCAGATGTCCGAAGTTGGTAAATGTCAGTCGAGCTTTCTGTACGCCTGCCGGCGCTGTCTGTGACCCGTCCGCCCAAACAGCAAAATGTTTCCACACCCTAGTTGCAGTCAAGTTGGAACGTGGGCCCACCCAGCCGTGTAGCACTATTGTACACTTTCGGTGTGCAAAACGCTTGTCGGCCATGACTAGGTAAGCTTGCAACCTATCGGGATCTTCACTTCCCAGAACATTGTCGTGTGCATACTCCAGTTCAGGAAAACCGATACCGCTATCCTAGCCTAAAGACATGGTTTTTTTCCAGAATCAGATCACTTACAGAGTTGAATAAAAAGCGGATAAGCGATAACTCTGATGAACACCACTTCAGACCTATAAATGAATCTGGTTGAGCTTGAATTCTCGCGTACGCGCTTAGAATACCATTACCTGTCGTGTGAAAATTTTCCCTTAGATATGCACTAAAAATGGCGTTTTTTCCACACCATCTGTCGCCTGAAACCTACACTTTGTTCAACATACGACGATCTTGTCGAGCGCTAAAAAGCGTCATACAATGATGAGTTTGGTGAAACGTGTATCGAAAAATAGATCACAAGTGGGATGCGAACTGATTTGTTGGAGAAACTCCCTCCCTAGCAGAATTTACATCATGGAGAGCTAAAGATGTAACATAGAACGGAGAATTCCAGGTATCTACTCCCTTGAACTAGCAGTCGGTGTGATCGTAGGTGTGTTCACAGCATACTAGAAAATATTGACAAGGAGCTCCCCAAGGGCATGTGAAATCCATGGGATAGAGTAAAAGCAGCAGTCGTGCACTCTGTGTACGATCGAGACCAGTTTTATGTCCCACGAGGGCAAAACGCATTAGATACAAATATTTCACAGAAAACCTGATCTCTCGGAATATATATCTTTTAATCAATCCATTCGGCTGGCGGGTAATATTCTGTGTAAGGAACTGGATGCTTTCGTCCCGTTCGTTGTGGCCAGTTGGCTTGTTGCAAGGGCATATATTGCATTGAGTTAATTCTAGGTCTAAGTTGGTGCCGAGTGGATGAGTGTGTGTGCAGTGTTCAGTTGACAACAAGTTACGGGGTCACGATAAATAAACAGCGAAAAGCTGAAAGAATCGGGTAAGATGAAGGCCGATCGCGTTGAATAAATAAAACAGATGTGGCTATAGTTGAATGGGGGCCTCTGGGTTTCCGTATGATATTTCTTTCAACAAGGATCGGTTGAATTAATGAAATATCCTGAGAGAAGAGGGGTGAAGCCTTTTAGTAGTTCCAAATAAAAAACTGACAATCGCATATGCAAGGTATTACGTTTCCGATGACTTCTCTTCACCTAGGCAATAACGCATGATGAATATCCGTTATGTCCAGATTGTGAAAAACACGAGCGGCCGGATGATTTTATCGTAATCTAAAGCCCATTCACTGTATTTTCCCGTCAATTTTTTGTTCCTTGACGTTTACCAAGATGTTTCGTCTGAATCCGACGCCCTCGCTTGAACCCGCAATCGATTTATTGTTGTTGACTTTACACTGCGAGAAACACGGAATAGCATTTGTTAAGCCTGGAAGGTGAAAAGGTAGATTTCAGTTTCCAGGCTGGAGGTTCGACTGGAATTTGCGTTTCAGTCGGGAAAAAATTATAGATAATTGATCAAAGTAGATGGGCCTCCACCTAGTCTTACCAAATACCTTGTGGTTAGGCTCTCATCAGAACTAAACGTTCTGATTGTGAACCTCAATCGTTCACCTGCTTGGTGGTTGGTCAAATTAACAGTAGTTGTTCGTAAAGCATCAAAGCATATACACATTAATCATAAGTCTATACTGCGTCAGTCGCTCTAATTAATGCACCAAGCGGGGTGAGCAGCAATAAGTGAGCTACTGCTTAACCATCAAAATCGTTTAATTTTTTGTCTTCTGTACCCAGCCTGCCTTCGCTCCTTCATCCGGCCCATAATATACCATTAAAAACTGGTACTCACTCAAAAAAGCTTGTTGCCAAATAGCATCTTAAGTTTACCATTAAATCCATACGTTCTTAAACCTCGTCAACCTTAAAAAGGACTGTCACAGGTGGGCCAATAAGCTTTTCTTGCGCTTTCAATAAACTTTTTGAAAACTGACTTCTTGGCTCAAATCTAACATATGGTAGTGAGTAAAGTACGCTACAGTTAGGTTGTGTAAATGATCAATGGGATTAGTTTGGCTAGGCAAAGAACTCCTTGGTGAACGATGCTCGTAGGTATGAGTCTGAAGCCCGTGCAAGACATCGGATTTATCATCAGTCAGTTATCCTGATACAGTAAACCGACAAATCCCGACCGGCCACGATCAAAACAGGAACAGATAACATCTGCACCGTCAGATCAGGAAAAGCCTTAAAAAGATCGTGAAAATTAGTGAACTAAAATAAATAGTGAAATGGAACTATCAACTGCATCAGAGGATAGTCAAACACCGTTTCATTTGATACGCAGTACCGCAAATCGTCGCACACCGATCAGTGGACAAAACATCTGGAAAAAATCGCTTGATCGCTGAATATAGTGCCGTGTTTCCCACTCTTGTCAATTGTATATCACTCTAATCACAAAAATTAGCCTTCAATATGTTTCAGGCTATACGCCACAGTAGTTCCATTAATAAAGCCTTAAATCTCCGCGCTCTCAGTCTCATCTATTAATCAACCACCGTCTGTTGACGTTTCCTCGTATCTTGAATAGCGCAGGTTATTCAACTAAAGTGATCGGTCCTAACGACCAAAACGCTTGGACCCAGATCTAAGCTGTTTCTCAGCCTCGAAAGTCTAGACTCATTCGCTTCGCAATTTTACTTTGTTTATCGCCAGAGCGGCGAAATCAGAGGACTAAAACCTCGAGAACCCCATTGGATGCATTCTTTCAACCGTCTCCGAGTATATTGCCGAGAGTGAAACATTCAAATCCACGGTGACCATCCTCGGGATAACTTATGCGAAACCCAGGAACGAGGGTTTTGCCCGACACAGCACCACTAAACAGGATGCAGGTCAAACTCTCGACCAATTTTTGAAGCTTAAATCGCTGGTAAAATACTGTAAATTCAAAGCCGTCATAGTCGGACAACGCTATACGAGATGTCTCTATAAGATTGGGTCTTTGGCTTGTTTTCATTGTCCGAATATACCATCGATACCCATTGTGAGAAAACACAAAGTAGCGAACAAGCTCGTTTGCGGTGATTCTTCTACAGGCTAATACATCACAATTTATATCAGACTGTTTGGCAGGGGGGGAGAGATCAAAACAAGTTGGAAAAGAGATA